GGCATCATTCCCGATTTAACCCTGAAATGTTGAGATCCTCTTGTCTCTCTGTCTCATACCCTAGCAACTGTGGACATCTGTGGATTCAGGTCAGCCCCTTTGGACTTCATAGAGCAACTGCAGTCTCAGTGGCTTTTCCAGCAGAAGCTCATCTTCAAGGAGCAGGAAAAGAATAAGTATAAAAACATCACGTTTACACGTAAGACCCATGTGATCATGAATACTCCTATTGAGAAAACATATTAGTAGATATTTAGAATCTCTGCTCATTACTACATAGTGGGATTAGGCAAATGGAAGGAACCAAAGACCACACTGGAGATCCAACAGAGCCCAAGTCCTAAGACCCTCTTAATATACTCACCCAGTTCCTGAAGCTGTGCTGAATCTTCCTAGATTCGTTGTATCATACCGAGCTCTGTGGCTAAAATTGTTCTATATAAGGGAAATAGCTCAATAAAATGACACTCCCCAGGAGGACTGGATCAGGCCAAGGGCTATCTAGTCCAGCATTCCGTGACACACAAGCTAGCTACATTTGGAAAACTCAGAGGCTTGGCCAGGCCAGTGATAGCCCTTTTTTAGTTTTGCTCCAGCCGTTGGTACTTACAGTAGGCTTCCTGAGATTCACAAGGGAGTAAATAGCCATTGGTTTTAGCAGCTGCATATTGGCTAGTCTTCCATGAATTTGGCTGGTCCCCTTTTAAAACCATCTAAACTGATGGCTGCTACCACATCTGAAGACCATGAATGTCACAGTGTAATAGTATACGTGTTGTTTTGATCCTGGAGCAGTCGTCTTGGGTGTCTAAACAGAATTTAAATTTGCAGTAAAATGATCTTTCACATGAGTGGTCTTTGGAAATATTTTAGGGTTAAAAAGACCAAAAAGCATGTTTTGAAAAAAATCAGCAATAGCACAAATGCTTCATAGAGTGAAAAATCCTAAAGGCTGGAAAATTCACATTACAGGCATAGTACAGCACCACTTTCAGACTTCTATAAAAATGGAGGGGGGGGTAACAAAAGGGATGCTGATCTTGTGGATTTTAATTGAACTGCTTTACATGTCCGTGTATTGCAAGGGAGTTTCTGTGCATATGAATCTTGAAATAATATGGCTTTATTTTCATACTTTTCACAGGAAGTACACTGGATATTTTATACAATTTTGCAAATTGCAGTAATTTGCATCTGATCTTTGGCCTCAATGCCTTACTACGAAAAAGTGGTTCCCAATGGGATAGTTCAAATGCTCAGCTGATTTTGAATTATACTGATTCCCAAAATTACACCTTGTCTTGGGAACTTGGAAACGGTACGTGCCTAGGAGAGAGATTTCATGAGCAAATGTACACTTGGTTGCAGGGAAGAGCATTGAACACTACCAAGCTAAACAATTGTGTTGCACACCAAGACTTTTAACTCAGCAATATGCGTGCAATTCCTTGTTTTCTGAGCTGGCGGAAGTACAGTAGAGTTGCAGCGGTTGACTGCCATTTACCCAGACAGAAGAGTTAAATCTGCATTTTGGATTGGCAGCAATCAAAATTTAAAACATTAAAACAAAAATGGGACACGCTCATTAATCCAGTCACCCAATATCCATATTTTTAAAAGCCAGGCTTAAAGAAAACTAGAAATTTTATTTTCAAAACAAGCTTTAGCTGGAATACTTCCACCAGGGAGAGAAAAAAATCTTGCATGTATTTAGTTCTAAATGTTCTCTGTAGTTTCCAAGCTTATCTATTAATTGGTTTTGACACTTTAAATTCCATATTTGTGGTTGATGATTATCCCTGTGTAAACATTTAGAGAGTTACAGTAAACCTGATTGGGTTAGGGTAAACATACTTAGGTGTGTGCAAATGCCTTTTCTTATATTTTCTGCAGAGCCTAACAGCTTTTTGCATAAGTCTGGAATAGAAGTTAATGGCTTTCAACTTGGTCAAGACTTCATACAACTCCGGCAACTTCTGAACAATTACGTCCACTACAAAAATGCCAAAATCTACGGCCCCGACTTAGGAAGGTCAAGTCGGAAGCACAGTAAGGTTTTGCTTAAAAGGTAAAATGAAAACATTGGGTGCTGTTGACATGATAAATAGCCAAACTAGATGCAATATTTAACCACGGTTTGCTTAAGTTATTCTTTGCTGCTTTAACCGTGGTTTAAGGTTCCAAACTAAACCTTTTTTCTGGGGAGGGAATAAGGAATGAGACCCACTGAGTGAGGCTCCCTGAAGTGGAGAAATTGCTTACTTTTACAGTATATCCTAGTTTTTAACAATCGTTCACTGTTGTCATTTTGATGTGATATTTAGTGTTAATTAAGGTAACCTTATTTAATTAAGGTTGTCTGGCAAGAGACTCTGAGAAGGTAGCCAGCGCTCCAAGAATTTATGGATCAGAAATAAAATTAGCAAGCTAGGTAAAAAAAATGATGCAGGTTGAAACCAATGGCCAGGGAGGTTTACATTTTAGTAATGCTCATAGATAACCATGTTCAGAGGCAAAAGTGAAAGTACTTTGTCCTGCTTTGAATATAATTCAGTCTCTTGGATTAGTACAATTGTGCTGTATGAACCATCATAACCATCACATTCTTTTACTAGATGGACAGATTCTTCAGCCTTGATGGCCACACAAATTGTGGGTCACCTTTGTATTCACATGACTGCATACATCCCTGCAGTCTTATCCCAGCAACTCCCTACTGGTTTCCTGCTGCCACTAGCAGATCAGAAATCTTGTCTCCACTGATCAGTTGACCAGCTTGCCATCAGTTGCAAAAGTAATTCAGGACTTCAGAATTCAGACAGTTGATCTAATGAGTCAGCTTTTAGGAAAGTGTGTGTGTTTCCCACAGCTCCCCTGGTTGCCTGTTCATACTATGTTGTAAATTGGCAGATGGAAGTTTCCTGCACCTTCTGGAGAGGTGATGATCTGTTTTTCTCATTTTTTCTGATGAGGGAGAAGTAACCATCTTCTAGATCAGACCAAAGCTGATGTGCTTTTCCAATGGTCTTTGCTTCTAAATGAGGCCCCCCCAATAGGATGGGGTATACTCACATGAAGGACTTTGGTCTCCAGATCTCTCCATGATCTTGAAGCAGGTTTACTGCTTATGAACGTGGCAGGTTTTATTAGCTATTGTTAGTAACATATGATTGGGCCAATCCCAGCTTTCCTCAACCTAATGCTCTCTAGATATGGTAGGATAGCTGGTATAGGATTAGTATGATACTAAACATAATAGCTAAATAAATTACTTACATATCTTCTTCTATGGATGAAGGATACGGAAAACTTCACATCTCAGTCACCCTCAGTTCGCTGTGGCCTGTCTGATGACGCATCAGGATGGGATGGTGAGAAATAGGCTCTTGTGAAAGAATCACGGAATCAACTTGTGAGCCAAGCAGTCATGTAACTGAAAATTTTTTCTGCAGCAGGGTGTCAGGTTCAGCTATCTTTCTAATTTCTTATTCTTCCTGTGGTTTTACAGTTCCCTTAAAAAAGGATAAATAACTCTTGATGGCCACATCACTGCAGCTTTCTTGGCAACGTTACTGAAGTCCGTTGGCAATAAGGGTCTTTTTTGTTCCTTCTGACACTTTTGATCTGACAAACTAAACAGGGCTGCCTATGATTAGTATCTGAATTTTGCAGGGAGGGGGGACAGGCATGCTGCCTGGGGATTCCAAGACTGTTGGCAGCTCTCTTAGCATTACATACTGTAAAAGAAAATAACTAGTGAAATTACTCTTGTTTTGCAGTTTTCTGAAGTCAGGAGGCAAAGTACTTGATTCTGTCACATGGCATCAGTAAGTTCATATCTAGCAATTGTATTATTCAAGCATGATGACATGTAGCATCATTGTTGCCCCGAAGACCCATCATAAAAGCAGTCAGCAGTTGGATGAACGGGGAGGGAGGAAGAGTGACAGGGTGTTTGGGGTGTGTGTGTGTGTTTTGAGGGGAAATAGCATTGTGGAGAGAAGTTAGAACATGCACCATATATTTCATGAATGAGGAAGCTAACATGCTATTGGGATAAGATGACAACTTATACTTGAGTCATTTCCATTCATAGCTTCAAAAACCGCTGTGTATTTTTGCACACCTCGGTGGAACTTTTCAGAACCTTTAGGCCCTGCTGCGTTTGTGACACCATTCAAACAAAAGCTCTAGCACAATTTCTTCTTCCCTTCATCTCTTCCTTTGAAAAATATTTATTACTACACATAAAAAACCTAAATCAACCAAAACAGGAGCAATGGGTTGAAACTGAACCCTGGCATGACGGAATGGCTCTGGGTTTGGGGTTCTCTGGTCCATGGAGAATTGCCATCTTTGGTTTCGGATGGGGTTGCACTGCCCCAGATGGGCCTGGTGCCTAATCTGGGGGTCTCCTGGACTCGCGACTCCTGCTCAAGGAGCAGGTGGTAGTTGTGGCGAGGAGGGCCTTTGAGCAACTGCGGGTTGTGTGCCAGTTATGGCCTTTCCTGGACCAACAGGCCCTGCTCACAGTTACCCACGCCCTAGTCACCTCCTGCCTTGACTATTGTAATGGGGCTGCCCTTGAAAAGTATCCAGAAGCTTCAGTTGGTTCAGAATGCGGTGGCCCGCATAGTTTTGTGCAAGCCTAGATTTGCACACGTCACCTCTCTTGCGGGAGCTGCAGTGGCTGCCGACTTCCTTCTGGGTCCAATGCAAGGTGCTGGTTGTCACCTTTAAAGCCCTACATGGCTTGGGGCCAGGTTATTTGAAGGACCGCCTTTTCCCAGTTTCATCTGTCCAACCCACCAGATCGGGGAGGCAGGGTATGTTATGAGTCCCCTCTATTAAGGAAGTCCATCTAGTGGGACCAAGAAGAAGGGCCTACTCCGTGGTGGCTCTCTCCCTGTGAAACATCATCCCCGCATAAATAAGACTGGCCCCCACCTTGATGCTCTTCCCCAAGGCCCTGAAAACATGGTTGTGCCAGCAGGCCTGGGGATCGCAGGTCGACCCGGAGCCCATCAAGCAGCTAGTATAAATGTATTGTTGTCACCAGAGGGGTGGGGGAGTGGAGTGGGTTTTGTATGGGGATTTTTGTTCTTGTAAGCTGCCTGGAGTCACCGTGAGCGAGTTGGGCAGCCATATAAATTGTATAAATAAATAAATACATTCAAAGACCAGCAAACTTAACAGATACATATTCATCTGCCCATGTAAGCAGGTTGAATAGGGTTAATCCCCTCCCAGTTCCCATCTTTGCAATTTTGTCATGTGATGGGACTTTGGAAGTGGCATTTTTGATTGCTGCCTTCATATTTTCAGATTTCCTCCCCATGGAGTTGCAATGTCCTCCTTCCCTCCAGGTTTCAGAAGAACAATTCAGACCTGCTTGTTCCATCCATGCCAGGGGAGCTCATGTTGCGGGTTAAGGATGAATCTGGTGGATACCTAACTCTCTCTCCCCCCCCGCCCCGTGGGTGTGTGGGTGTGTGTGTAGCTCTTCTCAAGGAGCTTAAGGTGATGTGCTTTAATATTCCCTCCTCCAGCTTTTCTTCATAATAACCTTTCTGAAGTAGGTTGAGTTGAGGGTGTCTGGCTCAAATCGCCCAATGAACTTTCATAGCTGAGAGTAGAGTTGACCTGGGTCTTGGTCCAGCATCTCAACCACTACAGTCCTCATGCTGGCTGGGGATTATGAAAATTGTACTCCCAAATACCTAGAAGAATGGAAGGTTTGGGACATCTGCTTTGGGATTGTCGCATTTCCTTGCCTTTCTCAGAACCATAGCCTACACTCGATGTATTTCTATGTCTCCTGGAGATATTTCTATGTCTCCTGCTTATCCTGATGCCTTCTGGATATACTGGGGCTGCAACTTCCAATAGCACAGCTGGCTAAAAATTCTTGAGTATAAACTTGAGTATAAATTAAGGTCTGTGGACATTAGTCCTCAGCAGTGTCTTGATTTGTTGCAGTTACTACATTGATGGACGTATTGCCACAAGACACGATTTCCTGAACCCAGATATACTGGATAGCTTCAAGACCAAAGTAGAGGAATTGTTTGAGGTAAGGAGCATCTAAACAGTTCGGGGAACAGATTGGAAGGTTGTGTGTAGAATGTATCCTAATCAGAGAAACATTTTATAGGGAAAAGAGACCAGGAGGTGCTGCTTATCCTGATGCCCTCTGGATATACTGGGGCTGCAACTTCCAGTAGCACAGCTGGCTAAAAAATCTTGAAGTTGTAGTCCTGGGCACCTAGAAGATAGGAGGTTGAGGAAGACTACAATGTCTTAAGAGACTTGCACAGTACATACACGATACATGAGTACATACATGCTACCAGCTCACCATATATGAAATGGTTGTAGAAGTATCAACAATTTCTATGTTCCCCACCCTCCTTTTAGTTCATGCATTCCTTTCTACATCTATACTTCTTTTTTCAAAATATCCTTTAGATCGTTAACAGCACAGTGCCAGACAAGAGCGTGTGGCTGGGAGAAACAAGTTCAGCCTTTGGAGGTGGAACTCCTAATCTGTCTAATGCATATATTGCTGGTTTTATGTAAGTATTATACCATTGCCTTAAAAGAACTGTCTCTGTGGCATAGCAGGATCCAGAAAATCATCTTGGCCAATGTACTAGCAAATCTTCCTTGAAGACCGAAAAAGCTGTTATGACCACTGAGGCACATAAACATCTAATCATCTGATGGTCTTCAGGAATATAAAAAACACGTATAGATACTTGCCATGGTGGTATGTGACCAAGTGCAAGGCCATTTTTCTACATCTGTAAAATGCCCCCCACCCCACCTCAAAAGGCCTAATTCTATTAATCTGAAGTCTTGGCATATGATTATGCAGTCTTTCAAGTTACACAGGACATTTCTTCTGATTGCGGTATATTGAAGAGTGCTGTGCAGCTGAGAAGTTTCCACATAGTTGGGAGGTGTGCGCTTGCTGATCACGCTGGGATTATATAATAAAGGGCAAACATTTAAGAGTCTGCCTTACCTCTTTAAAGAATGGAAAGTTACAATATTGTTCCTGCTTCTCTCAACAGCTACCAGATCTGGGCTGAAAAAAAGTGTATAAATGGCAGTGAGTCTAATTTTCTGCCTCTGTTTGCTGCCATCTAGAGAGTGCCCAGAGTTTTGCAGCCCACGCATTATTACCTATGTCTGTCAACTACCATTACATGTATGGTCAGTTACACCATTATGCATTAAGCAATATCCAGAATACACTCTTAATTCTGGTAAATCATTCAAGAATACCACTTTGACTCTATTGTTTTGTTCTAGCTTTTGGAAACAATTTCTCTAAAATGTCTCCCTGCTGTAGCTAGAACAATCCCGCCCCCCCAGGTCTGAATTGCTTTAAAGCTGTTTGAATGAAAGGTTGGCGCGCTCTCCCATTTTTATTTATTTATTTTTTTGACAGGTGGCTGGACAAGCTTGGACTGTCAGCCCAACTGGGCATTGATTTAGTGATGAGACAGGTTTTATATGGAGCAGGAAACTACCAACTGGTGGATGCCAACTTTGAACCTTTGCCAGTATGTATGCAACTGCATTACGATGATGATGATGATGATGATGATGATGATGATGATGATGATGATGATGATGATGAATGCCCTGTACTGTCTATGTTGCAGATACTTGGGCAGGTCTTTCCCCTCACCCCCTTTGACCTTGGAACCTTTATATGTAAAGTGTATTCAGCCATGAAGCCATGTCTGCTCCCCTTCAGATGGATTCATCTCTCCTTGAATTTAAGGAGCCTTGTCCTGGCTGGCTTAACAAGATATCATTTGAATCTTGCCAAAGTCCATAACACAGTGCTCCTGTGTCAAAGGAATGACTGCAGAAGCAAGCCCCATCTAATGCAGAAGTAGTGATCCATGATTAACTGAATCCATGATTAACTGAAACAGTCTAGATAGCTAGATTCACACGACACATTGATCCATACTCTTAGCCTGATTGAGTGTGCAGAGCTACACATTTAGCCTATTATGTTGTAGAGACCCATTTGGTACCCTACATGGCTAGCCGGGTAACGAAACATTTGCAAGAAAACAACCAAGCTCAGAGAACTCCAAGGACTCCACAGTTCAACCCTGAGCTACACATAATCTCTTCTATTGGTACCATTTGGTATATTTCCAAAAGGCTAGCCGGGTAACGAAACGTTTGCAAGAAAACCACCAAGCTCAGAGAACCCCAAGGACTCCACAGTTCAACCCTGAGCTACACATAATCTCTTCTATTGGTACCATTTGGTATATTTCCAAAAGTAAGAACCACTCAGTGCTAAACAAGA